TAATTTTTTCATTTGTTTTACTTATTTTAAATGTTTTTAACTTGCAAGACATATACAAAAAAATTCCCCCCTTTTTTTTACTTTCATTTGCAAAGCATAATCTTTTTAATTTGTGATGTTCTACTTATTCTTCATAGATACAGGTTTTTATATAAGATTGATTTAAGTAATCATATAATCTTTTTAATTATATTTTATGAAATAATTTATTTTTTTCTGTTGTAGCCTGAAAACATATTATTAGATGATACATTTAATATAAAGTTGACTGATTTTGGTTTTGCGCAAGTTATAACACCAGATGAAAAATTGTTTGGTAAGTTTTTTATTCATAAATTTTGTCATCCTTATTTTTAAACAAAAAAAGAATAATGATATAATTCATTATATTGTGTGAAATAATTGTAGGAATTAAATTAAATTGCAGGAAATTAAATTTGTAGGAAAATTAATTAATCAATTTGCATGGAATGCAGTGAAAAATTACAAAACACAGTAGTAGAGATGGTTTGTTTATCAAAAGGAGCTCATTTATCAGAAGCTCTTAAAGGACTTAAAGCCAAAGGATAAGCTTCGTAATCCTAGGACTGTGGGTCTTCAAACTGTGTTCCATGGAACCCCGGGATTCCATGATTCAAAATAAAAATTCAAAAAGAAAATTAGAAAGTGCTCACACTAATTGACTGGTGTTTATTAACTAAAAAGTAAGATGTATTTAGTTATCTTTGAAAATTAATTAGAATTTTCATGTCAGCAGTCTGTAATGTGGTGTGCATGCAAGAGTAGTTCTGGTTTTTCGGTTTGCTTGTTCAGTTAATGTATATGCAAAATTGTTTCTTACACAGCTATATATTGTTGCATTCTACGGGGTTCGTGGGTTTGGAGTGATTGATGACAGCACTTGATGAAGAATCAAAACGCAATTTATTTAGCCAGTATTACTTAGGACAGTTCTCAAAACCCATTTACAGTTGTTAAGAAACTAGGACAAACACATTGAAACAATCAGCAATACAGTTTCTTTTCAGTTGAAAATATCAGTAATCTCCAGAAAAATCAAGAAATATCAGTAATCTCCAGCCTTCAGGCTATAACGGTGAAAACACCTTCGCGGCAACACACTAAAGTACAGCTCCCGACTTGGTCGATCGCTCTCAGAGTTCAACACACTCAACAACATTCTGGGGTAAACCGGTAAAAATTCGTTCTAGAATGCTCTCTCTCTGTCTATGGCATATTGCCAATTTTGTCTCCAAGTGGGCAATTTCATGCCAAATATGGCAACACTGCCTTCCCTTGCCATTTTCTGGCAACCCTCACCTTGTGGGGAAGATATCTTACCATTGCTGGACATTTTGTAACAATACATTTTAATGCCATTTGGAACAATGTACATGAAAAATATTTATCAATATATATGGAAACAATAAAAACGAAATATAGGAACAGATTAAATGCAGAATATGATAACATCAGTAAAGCTAGACTTCAACTGTTTGTGTAAAAAAGTGTAAGCAAAGAAATTGAAAGCATAAATATAATACATGTGTAGGTGATACCTAAAATACGAGTTAATGCCCTTTTCCCCCCAGAAACCTTATAGTTCTAAGGTTTCTTTTTTGAATCGACAAAGTTAAAAAGACACTGCCCTAGGAGATTGTGCTTCTGATATTAGGATGGACTGAAAGGTAAGATAATTGAATTTCTAATGTTGACAGAATTTACATGCATTCCAAAAACAAAATATCTGAACACTAGTAGTTTGACTCAAGTTGTAATCCCAGTTTACATTCCAGCTACATGGTAGTTTTTGTGCCTTTCTGCATGTGCAATATCAATATGAGCTACTTTTTCCCTTATGAATGCTTCACAAAAGTATTCCATAGGCAGATAACTCTGGAGTGTTTTGCCATAATCTAAATAATCCTAACTTAATCCATTCCAAAATTCTTTTGGTGTGCATTAAGGTTTAACTTATCATCTATTTTTCAAAAATGTTTCTTGTATTATTTTACCATATTAATATTTTCTGTATAAATATATTTATGTTTGGATGTTTTTATTTGAATAGTTGTTACTTGTTAGCATGAATTAAAAATATGCATACAGATATTATACCGGATGATTTAAAAGTTGCTTTCCACGTACATTTCTAAATACCCCTTTTTTTTACAAATGAATATTTAACATCTATTCAGATATAATTATGCAATATGAATGAAATCAGACTTGGGTTGAATTTTGATCACTTTTAATTACAAATCTGGGGCATCTTCATTTATTAAAAATTTAATAGTGTATGGGTAAATTGATATAATTTTTGGATCACTCTGTACAACTTACATAAGTATTAGCACTACAAGAATAAATTACAGCAATGAGCCAAAACATTATGACCATCTCCTCATTTTTCAATGAACTTGTCTGGATGACATGCAGGGCACTCGATTAAGTGGCAATGGTATTAAACTGCTGTTGGAGAAGGTAAGGAATCATTCTTGCACTTACTTTTGCGAGTAATGGGAAAGGCTGCTGATCTAGAAAATTTGATAGAAGACAGATTGTAATAGCATGAAGACTCAGAATGCGTATCTCCGAAAATGCAGGGTTTGTAGATTGTTCACAATCTGCCATTGTTAGTATTTATGCAAAATAGATAAATGACGGTAACACCAGCAGTAGATGCCAAGGTGTTGGACATCGGAGACTGTCCTTCTTGGTACAGCAAAATTGGCACCAGACGGCTCAGCTGACAGTCCAATACAGTGCAGGTTCAAGTGCAAGTGTTTCAGAACATATAGTTCAGCAGACATTGTTGGATATGGGACTGTGCAGCAGAAATCTCACTCATGTTTTCCTGTTGACCAAAGCATTGTCAACTATGCTTACAGTGGGCACGGGAACATTGAGACTGGACAATGGATAAGTGGAAGATACTTTCCTGGTCAGAGGAATCACAATTTCTCATTCGTCACATTGATGATCATATTAGGATACACTGACCTCCAGGTGAACAGTTCCCCTTCCCCCGTGGTGGCGATATTGTGTTTTGGGGACGTTCTTATGGGCAGACCTAGGCCCCTCAAATGTGGTAGAACAGATCATGAAATCTGCGAACTAACTATCTGAACATAATTGCAGATTAGTTGCACCCTTACATCCAAGTGTAAATGGAATCTTCCAGCAGGATAATGCCCCATGTCACTAGGCTCAAACTGCGCTGGAGTGGTTCGAGAAGAAAGATAAATTTCATTTAATGTCCTGGCCACCTAACTCACTGGATCTAAGCCTAATAGAGCACATTTAGAATGTCATGGAGTGGCAGCTCAGATATCAAGCATCACCATATCAGAATATCACAACTTAGCATGACCGTTGCTTAGACATTTGGTACAACCTGTCTCTATTTATCTACCAAGAACTTCTGGCATCTATGCCAGGGTGAGTTGTGGCTATTTTGCAGGCAAAAGCTTGTGCAGTGCATTATTGAATAGGTAGTCACAACGCTTTATTTAGCTCTTCAGAATATTTTTAATTAACTAAATAAGTTAATGTTTATATTGTAAAAATGACCTAATAATTTCAAAACGTAGTATTTTAAATTCTTTGAATCGTGCTTTTGCACAGGATGCTTTCTTGAGGTCTCTCTCAATTTTATGTTTATGATCTTTAAATATCTGTCCCAATTTTCTTAGCGATTTAGAAATTGTTCAGACAACAGTAACATAAAATGTTATGCAAATCGTGATCATAATTGTTCTCTGGGAGCATTCTACGATTGATTTTGCAAGAGCCACTACTCAGGAAATGGGTTAATGGAGAAAACGCTTCACTTTCTTAGTACTAAATATTTTTTTTTTCTAATCCAGTTTTTTGAATTAATAGTTGATTTATTAATTTTAAAAAGCACTTTCTTAGAATGAAGAGAAACCTTTATTCAGAAGTCATATTTTTAAAGTCAGAAATAAGTTAAATAGCATATTTTTGTTATTTCTTCTTGCTTTAAATATTTTAATGTTACATGTGTAAAGGAAAGTAGTTTTAAAGAACTCAAAAATGTAGCTGATGTTACATTACTATTTAAGAACTATGTGGCACACCTGGCTACTTAGCTCCTGAATTGCTAAAGTCTTCTATGTATGAAAATGCTGATGGCTATGGAAAAGAAATTGATATGTAAGTTAATATATTTTCTTTATTTAAATTGACTTTGCTGGCTGACTTTTTTATATTGCACTGTATGCTTTCTTTTTTGTACCTAACACTTCTGTATCATTGTAGATGGGCATGTGGTGTTATAATGTATACACTGTAAGTACTTTTTAATTCTGTTTTATATTTTTGGATTACTGTGTAATAGAAACCATTTTTATGTTTAATATTAACATTAGAAGAAAACTATATAAATAAAATATATTTAAAACAATATTAAGCTGTTATATAATGTTTTTATCTCTCAGTCTTTACTGGTACCTCTAAAAAAGTTTCTTGAGGGATAAAAAGGGCAGTGAACTGTCCCTTCCTTCCCTTAGAAATGAGAACTTTTAAAAAATTTGAGATATTAGAGAGTGTTAAATGAATTTCAGTCTGTGAATTTGAGTGGCATTTCAGTAAATTGTAGCAGAGATTTTTTTTTCCTTATATTTGTGTAACATGACTGTTTGTGAAAGCATTTTCATAAATACATATAATATGCTTATTGGTAAATTTTAAATCTGTAACTACAAAATATATTCAATGAGTCCTAAATGTAAAAATTATCGTACTTATACATATTTTTATTTTAGTTAGATTCTGTTGTTTTTTTAATTACTTAATATGTGTTTTTATTTTTGTATTTGAAATATTAATATATTTTTCTTTAAAAAAGAAATATTGTTTTCTAGCCTTGTAGGATTTCCACCATTCTGGCACCGTAAGCAAATGATTATGCTAAGAAATATAATGGATGGCAAATATGAATTCTGTAGCCCAGAGTGGGATGATATCACTGAATTACCCAAAGATTTGGTATGAAATAGTTATGCAACTATTCTGTTTAAATTTGTTAAAATGGTGTATTTGTTTACATTAAAAGAAAATATGGCGTTTTGTAAACCAATCTATAGGATGTTGGAAAAGATGACTGTAGACTATTACCTTAAATATTAATTTTAAATATGTACTTCTAGTTGCAAAATATCTCAAAATAAAGTTGATAACTTAATAGAAAACATTTGTAGTGCTGTGAGTTGAGAGTTTATGTTTTAAGAACAGAAGTACAAAGCATTCTGTATCATTATATGCAAAATTTGTAGAGGTACAAGTAATAAACAATTTCATGGTTAAAAATTTAATAATACAGTCAAAAGTCGTTAATTCAGACACCCATAATCCTGAATGATCTAAAATCCGGACCTCAAAACTAAAAACTTTCTGCACATGCGGCGCGTTGACACATGTGCATAGGCGTTTATGCGTGCGCGTAAGACCTTTACGACTGCGCATATGCGTGTGCGCAAGCGAAGAATACTTTTTGCGTGCGCGTTTTATATAACGACGGTATAAGCTAAATTATGTAATTTCTCATTCAGTTAATGTTGATGATGCGTTGTTCCTTAATCTTCGATTGGTCCTGCTTATTATTGTTTGCAGTCGTAAGAAATTTTATAAAAAGTAACTTGAACTTTGATTAGTCCATAGAATTTCCGAACTGGAGCTCCCAAAGGATCTACAAATGAAGTATGGTTCATGTCCATCAAATAAAAAGGAATTGCTGCATGGACAAAGAATGAAGAAAGTGACAGAGAGGTTAGTGAAAACGAAAAAAATTTCGATTGACAAGTTAGTCGGTATTCTCGGCACAGCAATTACGGACTTGAACAGCAGAACTTTGTAACTGAACAAGAAATTATGTCTGTTTATAATAGAATTAAAGAGAAAGTATTATCACATAAAAAACGAAGCAACTTAAACACTTACATTGAAAGAAATGTTTTAATAAAGTAAACAAATAAATATTAAGCTTTTTTTTTTTTTTTTTTTTTGTAAATTTTGATACCCTTTAGATCATAATTGTTCTTTATTTCATAAATTACGGTTTCATATTTTTATTTTAGATTTCTGCATGCCATCTTAAGATTTTAAACTGATGATCTAAATCCGGAAAAATCGATAACCCGGAATCGTCGAAGTCCCGACGAGTCCGGATTAACGACTTTTGACTGTATATGCAATTTTACTCAATGCAGAAATAAATAGACTGAGGTACATATCTACCAATATCTTAATATTTAAAAAAATAAATAAATAAGATGAGCAACTTTGCTTTGTTGTTGCACCCTTAGTTTGGTCAAAAAGTCTTCAGTAGATGATAGACTTTGCAAGTGATTAGTAAATTAATTCTTGAATATCTTCATAAATTTTCGAAGCAAAGATGGGAGAACTTTATATTAAGCTTATTAAAACATAATAGTTTACTCATTGGCATTTTTTTTATCAGAAACAGGTTTACAGAGCTCTTTTAATTAAAGCACTGAAGCTAATTTGTTTAGATTCCACATAATAAGGTTTGGATACCTTATTTTACAGAACAATTTTAAAATTGACAATTATAGAAATAAAAGCTCTGGCTAATTTTTTTAATATCCAGTACAAGAAGGTTTAAAAAGCTCATTTTATTGATTCACTAAATTTTTAAAATATAAAATAAGCATATTAATTACTCTTATTTTTAAAATAAGTAGAGAAAAAATATTTATTTTCCATCTGAAATATTTTAACTACTTAATTTTATATAGGGCTATAGTTTCGTGAAACACAAAAAAAATTCATAGCAAACTATGTAACAGATATATCAGGTTTTATTGCATTGAAAAACATCAAATAATATTCCACATGCAATACGCAATGCTATGTATTTTCTGCACAATATGGCAATACTCTTACAGTGTCCTGACCTCTTGCTATTGATGCATTTGACATATCATTAATATAGCTTGACATTTGGAACATGGTCATTCACTGGCTCCAGCCATCGATTAATGCATCTAACCTTCCTGTCAATGACACTGAATCTGGAAGCACAACATTATACATTTGAATACATCTGTGCCAGACAATATTTCCACATGCATGTGCAAAGCCGCCCTATACCATAATAATTTGTTATAGTCCTGGCTTGCTCTTGCTGTAACACATATGTGACTGATTCTCGGTATTTTTATGTTACCTCCTTATTTCCTCCATGTTGTTGACTAGTTTAATCATGGCCCGGTGCTTTTCTTCTAGGTGTGTCGTGCTGATTAAAAGAGGCTTAAAATTTATTGATATATGCATAATAATTTTAAATGTGATGCAGAAATTCTGTTATACAGTACAAAGTCCGAGATCCGGACTTGTCGGGACTTCTGCAATTCCGGATTTGGGATTTTTCTAGTATTAAAACATCAGTTTAAATCTAGAAAGATGGCATGTAGAAATTATAATATTAAAAATATGAAATCGTGATTTATGAAATAATGAAGCATTTATGATCTAAAGGGTATCAAACTTTACAAAAAAAAGCTTAATATTTATTTGTTTACTTTATTAAACATTTCTTTCAATGTAAGTTGTTTTGTCTTTTCTGCTAATACGTTTTCTTTAGTTCTGTAGACAGACATAGTTTTAGTTACATTGTTGAAGTCCTGTAATTGCTGTGTCAAGAATTCTGACTAACTTCTTAACTTGTCATTTGAAATTTTTTCGTTTTCAGTAACCTCTCTGTCATTTTTTCACTATCAGTAGTGGTATTTTTACTTCCTTGTACGAAGTGAAAAGGAAGTATTGTAATCCCGAAAAGTTTCAGGCAGCATATTTCAAAAAAAATATCCATTTTGACAGCTATTGAATGCAATTTAATGATGTTTTTGCGTGATACCTGTCGTAAAAGACAGAAAATACTCTTTCCTTCAAAAAATTATAAAACTGCTGTAAAATTAAATTCTGAAGAGAATTTTTTTGTGGCATCTGTACGTATCTCGCATAATCAAAAACGAGTACCTCAGAACGATGAAATTTTGTATATAGGACTGCTATAACATGTAGATGTGCACCTCATATTTGGTTGCAATCGCCACACCAACGTATATATATATCCACTCTGTTTACCCCTCAGTGATCTCCGTTTCTTTACCCTTATATGTTTGTAAATTGTACATTTTTTGCTTTAAAAATGATTATATTATGTTGATTTTATCTTCCGTTTAAGGTTTTTATGCCTTTAGTAAATCTGTGTGCAATTTTTTTAGAATTATCAGCAATTTTAAAGTTGTCTAAGTCCCGCTAAGCCTTTTTTTTTATGGCGGCCATTGATGTTTACATTTGAAACAGGAGACTAGTGGATTTGTTGCCAATCTAGAGAAACTTAGCTTCGCAACAACAAAGATAACTCATTCATTTATTATTACCAATTAAATCATGCTTAATTCTTTCTGAAATTTTTTCAAGGAAATAAGTGTTTGAGATTTACTTCGTAATTTTTAATATAGATATTTTGAGTTTTTATGTATATATAGATATTTTGCCTTCTCGCGAAGTGAGAACTGAATTAATTAAATGAGAAATACTCAATTGTCTGTGAAAAACTTTTTTTTTTTTTTTTTTTTTTTTTTTGTTTTGTTTGCTTAATTTCTTTATACATCATTCTATCTTTATTATAGTATTTGAATAGAACATGTGGCAATGATTAGATAATTCTATTCTTTAAATGATATAAATTTTGTGCATTATGAGTTATAATGTGAACAAAATATATAAGTTAACTCTTATATAATTATTGGATTATATAACAGTTAACTTAGTTTCGTTATATAATTATAAGTTAACTGTTATATAATTATTAATACTGTTAAGTGAATCTAGCACCGGAGTGTCGCTATGGTAAACAAATACTAGAGTGAATTTTAAAGAATGCATTTATTCTATTGTAGTTTATGCGCTGTTGGCGAAGTAGATTTAATTCAATCCAATAAGTTTAAATGAAATGCAAGAAAAAATGCGTATAATTTAATATTCCGTACAAGGAAGTCTTGTGGTGTACACATCAGATTTTTTGGATCTAGAACCATACTACAGATTTCGCCATCCATTAATTGACTGATGATTGAGGAGCATTGTGATCACAATCAAAAACTTCTTTTATATCATCTTCATTTATCATTCGCCACATTTCTTTACAAAATCTGTTAATTGGAAAATTTCACCTTTGGTTTGCGATATCTGAAAACCTTCAGATTCGTGGCTATCATCTTCATCATCCTCACCATGAAATATAGCAGCTGGGTATAAATTATACCAAGCATTTTCCAGATACTTGATTTCAGCATCAGATATCTGGAGACACATCTTCCCACGGTCTTGCAATGCTCCACACAGATTTTATCCTAAAATATTTCAAAAATTCTTGAATAGTCTTGCCATTATTCAAGAAATTTAATATGGATTTTAAACATACCACTATCTTTCATTAAAACTTTAAACAAAGTGTGAGCCGAACAGTTGTCTACAATCAGGACAGTTTTTGCGTCTTCAGGTAAACCAACCTGAATTCAAATGTTGCAGAGCCTCGGGTATAAAATGGTTTTCAAACCAGTAATTCATAAACGCTTGTGTCATCCATGCTGTTTTATTTGCACGATATATAATGGGGGAAATTGTTACTCCTTTAAATGCTCGAGATCATACTATTTTTTCCAATTGCAAAAAGTTTGCACTTGTGCGTTCCAGCAGCATTTGCACATACTAAAATTGTTAGTCTCACTTTGGAATCTTTGACACCAGTTGGAGCCTTTTCTGTAGAGGTTTCCAAGGTTTTCTGTGGTACATATTGCCAGAAAAGACCAGTTTCATCAACGTTGTAAATTTTTTCTGGAGATATTTTTCATTCGCAATGAGTACAATGAATTCATCAGCAAATAGTTCAGACTATTTTTTCCAATTGCAAAAAGTTTGCACTTGTGCGTTCCAGCAGCATTTGCACATACTAAAATTGTTAGTCTCACTTTGGAATCTTTGACACCAGTTGGAGCCTTTTCTGTAGAGGTTTCCAAGGTTTTCTGTGGTACATATTGCCAGAAAAGACCAGTTTCATCAACGTTGTAAATTTTTTCTGGAGATAATTTTTCATTCGCAATGAGTACAATGAATTCATCTGCAAATAGTTCAGCAGCTTCAGTATCAGCTGAAGCTTTTTCACCTGAAATTTTTAATTGCCTTATACCATGGCAATTTTTAAATCTGGTTAACCAACCTGTCGAATATGTGCACTCAGTTTTTAAGTTAATTTCTTCATGAAATATTTTGGTTTGAGCCTTTAGCATTGGACTATCAATGGCACGCCTTCACTTTGACGCTGTCATATCCATTCAATCATCACTTTCCCATGATTAAATTTTTAGCATAATGAACAATTTTTCTGCTATTAATTGCATGTTGTGTGTTGGAATCCGCAAATAATTCAAAAAGGTTTTTTTCTTATCTCATATACGGTTGTTTTTCCAGACTCAGTGCATAATTTTGAGACAGATATGTAATCTTTTTTTTTTTTTTTTCCAGGAATTCCATTTTTTGTTTAATAGACACCGGAACATGCCTTCAGTCTGTAGATCCTATTGCAGCTTCAGAATTAGAAACTCTTTTTGACATAATCGAAAGTTCAAGCTTTTTTCCTGAAATTGCTGTAATAATAACAGTTTGCAAAAAATAATAAGCTGGATCAAAACAGAGGATTAAAGAACAGCACAATCTGTTATATAAACAGAAATTCCCTAGAATCAGTAAAGTATAATTTAGCCTCACTTAATAACGTCCGCTATACATTATTGGCTATGTAACGTGAGATTGGCAACGAAAAACAAGTTATTCTGCTAAATTTCGTCTTGCTTCTATCTCGCACTGAGACAATTAAGCCTGAATTGTATTAGTTTAGTTATTTGTTATACCTACATCTTTTTCTTGCACGTGCTTAAGACTAATCTGAGTCTTTAAAAAATAAACTCCTACATAAAGCTAATTGAGGTCCAGCGCTAGATACCTCCTGATGCAGTCTCTGCGGGTCCTAAATTCTGCTACAAAATGCCTCCCTAAGTTCTAAATTTTTGTCACCCCTAAATTTTGGATCCCAGTACTTTCCCTAAATTATAAAAATTTTGTCATTCCTTAATTTTGCCACTTGGTTCTTCTGTAAATTCCAAAAAGGTTTTCTTCTCTAAATTCTGCCCCCCAGTGCGTCCATACGAGCTCTGACCCCAGTTCTGGGTTTATGTGAATAACATATCAGTTATTCTTAATTGAAACTTCACTAAATGTAATCTTTTGCCCTGTGACTTTCATTAACAAAATCTATTTTTACATATGAAAAGAAATTTTTCCTCATCAACATTTCTTAGCGCATTTAACTTAAATCTGTAATCATCGCCAAGCATAATGTCAGCATAAAAGGTTGCCACACTTTTTGTTATTCAATTACTAATATAAAAGAAAAAATTTAGACATTGCTGCATAAGTCATTACTCAAATTGTCATGTGCTGATAACCATGCGGTGATGAAAATAAAATATAATAAATGATTCACCAGTTTATCCTCAGGGATATAAAATGCAGATATGTATAAAATCAGTGATGTTCTTATGTAGAATGTTTTGGTTTGAGATGTATGCCAAGCAGATGCACAGCTATGGAGCCAAATTATTGATGATTGAAATAGCAAGGTATTTTATGTAGTGCCTGAGTGAAATTAAGAATCGAGACTCTCCATGTGTTTTAATATCGGAGGAAAAAATCAAATGCGCATGTATAAAGCATACAAAAAAAAAGTTTGCTTGTGGCTTTGAGGTTCGGATTTTAGATAATTCCGGATACTGTACGTCCAGATCTTGTATTTGGTACTGTATTTATGTATCCATTGCTTTAAATATGAATTCAGCTCTTTATCAGAATTAAATTTACATTATAGGATGCCCATATTTTATTTATTTTTTAAAGTTTTAAGTTTTTGTCCAATTGCAGCTTTAATTGAAACTTAAACATTTCATTGTCACTCATGAAAGATATTGATGAAAACCCAAGATTTTGGACAGTGAAAAGAATATTATATAATACAGTGAATTCATTTGTTACAGATTCTGCGTTAATTTTTTACTAATTAATGTGTTTTATGATTATACAGTAAAGAGTACTGCAATTTCTAATAGCTAATTTATTTCTCACATTACTCAGTGGCATTTCTCATATTACACATGCACTCTGTTGCAGCAATTGTCGAAGGTTCTCATGTACTACTAGTAGTTCATTTGTCTTTGCAAAGCCACAGGACAATTCCTGAAGGTGGTGTCATTTACGGAAGTGTATTTCTTTTAGGTATCCAGGTCTGTATTTAGAATACATTGTGTTTGATGTGTGACTTAAAAGAGGTGCAGTAACTTGACTTCAAAAATCGTTGTATTCTGTGAAAAAGGGCACCCCTTTTTTTTTTCCCACCCCCCCCCACCAAAGTAACAGTGGCTGGTGACTCATTTCAGGACCTGTGAAAAAACTGATAATAATAATCCCAATTGAATAGCAATTATGCTCATTATTACATTGTACCATTGGACAGAACTCCCTCCTTCCTCCATTTTCATAGGAATCTGCAAGTGCTTCTCAGTTACATTCCTCCATACTGTTGGATCAGACATTCTGCAGATAGAAAATGCAGTCCATCCTGTTTTTCAGATTCTGTACTGTGCAGTTTCTTCATTTGGGGGTTTTTGAAAAACAGCACCTACATAACACTGTTACACACACTCATCCAGAAATTTCATGATAGTGCATGTTCTGTAGACTTTGCAATTGATGGTCATGTGCATCTGTGAGGGAGAAATAAATTAATTAATTTTTGTGTTTCCATCTGAATTTTTTGCACATTCCCTCACTGAAAAATATTTACGAGGCAATGCACTCGCCAAAAAATTCTGGAGCAACTCATGACATCATCAAAATATATTTATGTGGCAACCCAGGTATAAATGTGTTTGCAGACCTCTAAATTTAATGCCCATTTTTCTGATTAGTGCATTTCTCAAAATAAATTATAATGGGATTGTGGATTTTGCTGGCTGATGAAAAAACAAAATTGTAGTTTTTCAAAAGTAGGGCATTTTGCACAACAGTAGAAAATTCAGAAATTCACATTTCATGAAGTTGTACTTCTTAAGTGATTGAATTTTATAGAAATTGCAGTTTCAGAATGTGGGATGCTGAGTTTGTGAAATTCTCTGTTTTTTTTAAGCAGAAACAGATTGTTGTGTACATGAGCAGAACAACAGGAAGCATAGTGTCAGGTTTGTTCACAGTGCCAAATTTGTGAAATTTTCTGATTTTTTAAAAATGAAAACAGGTTATTGTGTACATGGAGAGAAAACAAAGAAAAAAAAATAAGGATTTCTTGAAAAAGGAGTCTAGTAAGGATGTTTTCTAATTTTTATTTTGATTGCTGTTTTATAATATTCTTAGTGCACTACCATTTTATAAAAGGCTTTTGCCTTCCATATGTTATCTTGCCAAAAAATTAATCAGCAGTGAATCGTTGGCTTTTTGAGAGAGGAGTGCAGATAATTAGAAAATGCAATTTTTTTAATTGTACTATTCTTTTCCTGCATGTGTGCGAATATTTATACGTATTAACACACACATATAGAGAGAGAGAAAATTGTTATCTGTTTTTTATTCATATTTGCTGCAATAATATCTTTCCTTGATTTTTAAACTTCCTTAATGTTTTTTCAATATGAGAAGGCATTTTTTAATTATTTTTCTGCAATTAATTTTTACTTCAGATAAGAAAACTTCTAGTTGTTGACCCCAAGAAAAGACTTACTGCCAGTCAAGCACTGCATCATGATTTCTTCAAAATTGTTGTAAGTGAAAAGTTTTCAGTTTTTAAACATTTTCTTGATGTATGGTAATGTATGTTGCAATATCTTTAAAAAAATGCTTTTATTCTGACTTTCAAGTCTTTTTATTTTAACTCAATTTTTGGAAATACACTGCTGGCCATCGTAAATGCAACACCCTGAAGGAAGCATGCAAATAACATGAAATTTGCAACATGCGTTAGCGGAGGTGAGATATGCAAATGATTAGAATTTCAGCGCAGACGCACATCACGCGCGCCACTTCAAAAGGCGCCTCAAATTCAAAGGCACCTGTGGTGCCACTTCAAAGCGCTATTTTAAGGCTTGGAGTTTTCGATGATTTTAAGTTTGGCATTTTTTTTTCCTCCCAAAAAATTATCAATTATGCCTTGTAGTAAACAGCGATCATCGTTTCATCAAGTATCCAAGTTCGGAAAACGAAGGATAGTGGCCTAGCGAGAGTGTGGATTATCTTTCAGCGAAATCGGTTGTTGTTTTTATGTTGCAGGATATGAACATTATTATGATTGCTAAAGCAAAAAATAAATTTAATGTGCTGCTACTGGTAGGATACTTTTTATGTGGATCGTTTTTATGGAATGGTCGCTATGATGAATTATTATTGTAGTGAGTATTAACTGTAATTTCGCATGCAAAAGTTCATTGCATTTAGCACCATTTTCCATTTCAAGGACTTCATTAAAGAATGGGCATATAGAAAAACAATTATTGACCCTGACAGAAATATAATTTATTAGTTTATGCTAAAAAAGTATGATGAATATTTGAAAAAAAATTTTCTTTTTTCCTTTGTTTTTCATTCTAGGCTGCAAAAGGAAGAGTCTTTAATGCTAGGAAAACATTTCAAGTAAGTTGCTAATTTTTTTTTTTTTTTTTAAAGTTTTTCTATTGTTTGGGTTACTTATTTAAAGTCCTGCAAATTTAGACAGTCTGCATATGGCTAATAGCCCAGTAGTATTGTAGTAATTCATTTTTAGTGGAGAGATACTGCAAGTTTCAACATTTTCTTAAAATATTTAAATTTAATATTTTTGTATTCTTCAAGGTTTTACCATGTATTCATAAAATAGATTATTTCAATTTAGTAGTCATAGTATTTTTCAAGATGTATACAATATGTATTGCTTGACCTGCCATGGCATAAAGTCAGTGAATACTCATTGTTCAAACCAGGTTGGAATTCTATCATATAGATTGGTCTAACATTTTTACATTCTTCAAGATTTGACCTTGTATTCATGAAAGGAATTATTTCATTTTAGCAGTCATAATAATTTTCAAGATATATGCAATATATAATGATTGACATGCTAAGCTGTCGAAGTCAATGAATATTGGCAGTTCAGCTGGGTTGGAATTCAGTCAAATAGGCTGTCTGCATGGGTGTTATTTTGTTTTTCCCTATGCATAATATGGATATGAGCTAGCTTTCTCCAAAAAAAATCCTCTACGAATATACCTCTTCCCTAGCTGGGCCCACCAGCGGCCAAGCGGTAAAGTCACTGAACACTGGTAGTTCGGTTCGAATCCCGTGAACGAGCTGGCTGCATGGGCGTTTTTGTGGTTTTCCCCATGTGTAACGTGTATACAAGCCAGTTTCCCCTAGAAAGTCCTTCACGAAGGCATGCCTCCCCTTAGGCAGATAGCTCTAGTGTGCTTTGCCATAATTAAGTAAACCAAATCAAACTTCCCTAACTGGACACCCTTGTGTCTATTGCCATAACTCTCCAAAATATATATATTGCTGACCATTTAAATTGCCAGGAAGAAAAGAAAATAATGGAATCTTATTTGTTGTACATGTAGGGTATAATGGGAGACGGGCATGACTGAATTTGCAAGTGGTTTGTGGTAAACAGTGCTGCTACGCTGCCAACAACAGTGGTTATAATTTGACTGGGCATCGTCCTGAGCTTGGATGACAGATGCAGGTACTTCTTCCATGCAGCTGCAACTATGTGCAGGAGTTTTTCAATCCTTGTGGCTGGTGAATGGCAGCATACCAGTCTGGTGGTATTTCATAACCAGATATTTTAAATATTTGAGACATCTGGAGACCATGTTGACCAGAGCAACAATCGAATACCCTTTGTATTGAAGAAGATCTTCACAGTATAGACAACATACAGTCTTACATTATTTTTGTTGACAGATGGTGTCGTGGAAACCTCAAAGATACGGCACAGCCATGTCAGAAATATAACAGTAATAGGAATAGCCCCATTACTGGCAATGTGAAGAGGTGACCCAGATGTGTACTCAATGGAATCCCATACCAGTATGCCAAATGATGGGCCTGTATGTTGATGATGAATGTAAGGTGGCAACATTTGTTCTGTTCATTGTGTCTACACATGGATACATCCATCATCATGCTGTATGCAGACTAAAGATTTGTCTGAAAAGTCAATATGGTGCCACTTCTGTGTCCAGTTTCGTCCTGTAATTGGAGGTGTGTCTCTCTCTGCTGTAGCATCAAGGGAAGCCACAACAATGGTCATTCCACCATGCTGCATCACACTGTCTGTGCATACACTTATCCTGCACAGAAGCCAGATTCCTGACTCAGAGTATGTGATGTGGTTATACAGTTTTACAAAGCCAAGATGACAAAATGCCTGTCTTCTTGGTTGTTAGTAGCCTAGGGCCACTGACATCCTCCAAAGCATTAATTATGGCCCTCCTGAACCCATCAATTTCATATCTGTCTGCAGTTATGGCATCCTGACCAATATCAGCAGCAATGTTGTGGAACAATATACTGCAGTTCTAGTGTGCCACAATCCTGCAGCAGTTGAATTCTGACACAAGCTGATAAGAGTTTTTTCTTACAGGATGCATAACATGACTTTCATGCAAATAAGCATGTTCAAATTTGATTTCCAAATGAAAACCCACTGTGCAATCTTCCCATTTATATACAGTGCAGGTGGCATAACTCATGCCCACTTTTTAGTGCCTGCATTGGAGTGCCCATTTGCATATCCCAGGAACATATAAACCTCTCATACAAATTTGCTATTCGTTGCTTGATAGCTTCATGGTGTATCAATTTTAATCCTCAGTGGTATAAGTAAATAGATTATCTATCCTCAAGTTTTCTAATAATACATCCTCTGTCAGTATTAGTATGTGTGTGTGTCTGTGTTACATGCGAACATCATCAAGAAAGTTCTGTAGTGTTTTCATCTATCATTTTCATCTTACTACCATATTCAAGTCATACTGGGAATTCTAAAAAGGAAATTTCAGGCTGGAAGATGCCATATGAGCATCTCCAAGTTTCAAAAGGTTTTCTTTGTACAATCTGTAAGTGATGACCAGATGGGACGATGTGTTTTATGGTGCCATGTTTTTTGTAATGTAAAAGTTTTGAAAACGTAATGTTTTCAAAATTTTTTTTAAATAATGTTTTGCTGTGTTTAAAACATTTTAACAGGTGACAAAGCCCAGTTGTAATTTATAAAAAAAACCCAAAAACCTAGAGCAAAATATGGGAGTTTGGTGAAAATACTTCCATGTCAGTGCAAAAGTGATTTATGAAAAAGAAAAATGCTGACCAGCATGAAGGATTGCCAAATCAGATTAGTTCGTGCTTTCAAAAATATTTGTTGATGCTCAAAGATAAATATGTGATTTCTCTACCACAGCGATGTGCTAGCGCGCAGCTCCAAAGTTTGCACCAATTATATGGCAAGTACTTGACTGCAGATTGTGAATCATTTTCCCTTTAATCCAAACTTTTCTAAGCATGGCTTATCTGAAAGAAAAGGCTAAAATTGGTGCAGTTTCCATTTTTAGTCCAAAGTGGCTTTGTCCCTGAGAGACTATTGGTTTCATTTTGCAATTTTGCATCAAATCACTCTGAATGTCCATTTCACTTTTCAAACTGTTTTGCACCATATATTATCGCCCTGTATTATATTTGAAAAAATTAAATAAGAATCTGCATAAATGTATGTATGTTTCTCGCATTGTGATAAAACAATAGTACCTAGAGCCATCAAATTTTGAATAATGTAATCCTACTGCAAATATGGGCATCTGGAAGCCTCAATTGGGAATTCGTTTTATTATCAATTTAATATTTTGTAAAATTTTAATGAATTTTTTATAAATAAACTCGATTTCTGGCAGCGTTGTACAGGAAAAACATTTTTACCTCCAGCGCGTGAGACTGTGTATCGGAAATTCTAAAGATATGCTCAATTTAAAATTAATCTGTGATATTGCTTTTGAACTGAATTGATGGTTTAAGTGCGAAGAACATAATATTTAATAAGTAAAGGTAACGCACAAAATGTTAAAAAAAAAAAAAAAAGGCTCTTTGGACATAATTTAAAATCTGAAACTTTTAGATTTTTTTTTTTTTTTTTTTAACCTCTGTAGGATCAAATCTTTAAGAAAATGCCAGTTTCTGAAGCATACAAAACTAGAATATATTTCTTTGAGAAGAAGTGTTTAAATTTTCTTCTGCTCAGTACATAATTTCATTGTTCAAGAACCTGTCTATTAATGCTGACCAATTGGAAACTAAATTTATAGCTTACCATTTCACTGATTCGAATGAGAAAGTTCTTGCTGTTCTTCGTAACATAACACAATATTTCAGGATTGCAAGATTAAAGTGGGCTGTACAAATTTAGAGAACTCAACAAAGTAATCTTGATTGTTTTGTTACTACTATATATTAATCCACTGAAAAGATTCTGATCGTTGTGTAGAAGAATAAACTCAATTTAGACCAAATTTATATACTGATTCATTGAATACAATTCTTGCACAGAAAATGAAATTATTCACTCATTACACTGTTTGTAACCAGAATAGATTGAGCTGTGAATGGCTACACCAAACCATGAAACAAAGTTGACCTTTCCAGGTCAGGAAAACAGTAGCATGGGAAAAGGTATCTTCATTTTTTATTTTTTAAATGTTTTCCTTCATGTGCAAAATTGCAATGGACTTTTTTATGGTGTAACATGTAATTTATGCTGTTGAATCCCTTCCCTCTATTTTGGGGAATGTTCAAGTGCCATGATGATAATTAAGTATTACTGATACTCTTTCTCAAAGGATAGCATCTCTGCGTATGCATACAAATATGTAATATAGCTGCTAACTGTCCCAGTCTCCTGCTAGATCATCGAATCTTCCTTTTTTTTTTTTTTTTTTTTTTTTTTTTTTAGCTTTTACTAAGGAAAATTTTTCCTTATTTTAAATGAAATTTATTGAATTCATGAAACTTCAAATTCCATTCTCCCATCTGTAGTGATTTTTAGTGTAATTTTTCTTATTAAATTTTATTTAATCTAAATTGTCTTAATCTACCATTGACATTTGCAGAATTTTTTATGAAGACTCAAGCAATGTTTAATCAGTTAATATTTGTATTTAATTTTGTTTTGCATCAATAAATGATAAAGTTTATCCATGTAACTATATATACATTAATTATTAATTTTATTTTCATCATATTAAAAAGAACTTTTAATAAATAAAAGCTTTTTTTGACTGCTCAGGATTTTTTCAGTATTAAAGTATAAGAAAATTCTGAAACAAAATTAACCCAAGAATATAAAATTTATTAATTAGTGTCTAATTAAATTGATGCATTTTATATCAGAATAATAACGTGGATAGTTCAGTAACCTAAATCATGCATTATAAAGTGAATTTAATTAAATTTAGAGTACATTATGAAAACATTTTTGAAATTCCCGGTTTTTCGTATTTTAAGGTTGGCAGCTATGATATTAATACACAGATACATATGTTATAAATGTATAATATAAGAACTGAATGCATATGGTTGTGTGAGTATGTGAAAACAATGTCACATGATTATAAAAAAAGCTAAAAGTTTTTGAAAAGTTATATTTGTAAAGGGTAAAGCAGATTAATTTTAAGAAGTCAATAGATCTGCTAAAGAAATGTAGCATATACTTTTGTCGTTTCACTTTATATAGTGTATTTTAGTTTATTAAAAGTAGTAATCCAGTAATAATAAAAAGAATAATTTGAGTAAACAAAATTGAGAATGATCAATTGTTCTGCAGTGGGCTGCAATACATATAAATAATTATATTCTCCATAAAAGTTCATATTATAAATTCTTTATTTTATAAATTAATTTCCTTGCATGTTTTTTACAGATTTCTTTAGAATAAACAAAATTATTGTAAAGTAATTTTGTACAAGTTCTTACAGCTTCTGTCTCAGTCAGTATGCATATTATTTAAGTATGAGCATGTCAAGTTCATATTCATAATTGTGATATATACTGCTTTTTAATTTTTAATAAATTCATCTGTTCTAAAATATGATTTGTAATATTTTATTTTAGTTCGGTATTCTTTGTGTGAGAGCTATGATACGATTAAAAAGATTGAAGTATACACCTGAACCTTTATCAATCGATATTGCTAAAATGGACCCATATCGTGTAAAAACTCTAAGAAAGGTAAGATAAGTGAAAGCTTGTAGGAGAGGGATTGCTTTTTTAAATGACAAAAATATCACATCATTGTAAAGAATTTTAGTTTGAATCATTTACATAATCAGCTTTTTAGTTTTAAATGTAGTTATGAATTCTGTTAACAATTCTATTTCCTATTTTCATTATTAGGAAGAAAAATTTTTTAAAAATTCAAAAAATATGATCGAGAATTAGCTCTATTTTTAATCTGAAAATATGTAGATTATTAAAATTCTACTGTATATTTTTCAGTGAAATGAAATTTTATGGTGCTATTAAATTATGTTATTTCATTCAAGTAATATATATGCCAAAAATATAAAATTTTCATTAAAAATTCAGAGAATTTATCTTGGACTAATTCTGTATTAACATATAGGAGTTAAAAAGTTCCTTTCTTGTATGAGAAGTAGGAAAACTCAAATTTTTATAGTTAAAAGCTTAGCATTACAAAATCAAATCACAGTGCAGTAGAATTCCAATTATCATCATGCCTTGGGACCAAGGGTTATGCAAATTAGAGAATTTTTCCAGTTTCTAAGTCATCATTTTCTCTGTTTTATTTACATTTCTCCCATTTTAATTTTTGCTTTAAATTTGTATAATTTACACATAAGCAGATAACATTACATACTCATATCTCAAGAATTGTTTATTCAAGATTTATATAATACAAAATTCTTATATTTTTTTAATGTAATTATACAAAAAGAAAATAATGTTAGTCTAAGACAAAAAAAGTGTTTTCAAGAGAAAAAGAGATAAACAAGAGGGGGTTATTTTAAGGGGTAAAAAGTTTGTTTGCAAAAATGCATCAGTATATTTTATTGAAAAAAAAAATTATATACATGCTCCAGCAAAATTACATCCTGAGCAGTTTTTATGCTCTTAAACGGAGGGAAAAATTAAATAAATACTCTGTTTTTAAAAATCCTGCTGTAAAGTTTTCCCTTAAATTCTTACAATAATTTTGTTATGTCATGTGTGTCTGCAGATGCATATTGACCAAAACGTCCTACAATAATTTTTCTGTTATGTTACGCATATGTACACTTGGACTTATTAACGTTCTGTAGCCAGTTTTTCAATGTTATGTTTCCCTTTTTAATGCCAGCAAAATCACTGCAAATACTATTTATAATAATCTATCCCTGTTTGCCAATTGATTAAAATACATTGTACAGAATTTAAACAAACCAGCTATGAGGTACATTTAAGTTGGGAAGTCATTGTTTGAATATATGTGTAAGAAAAATTGCTGTTAAATATGCTAATCCTGAATTTTCTAAAATTTGGAATTTTTGTTTATTTATATTTAAAAATGAATGCATATTATAGGTATTCACAGATCTGAATTCTGCTGTTTTTAAATTTATAAATACAAGTCAATTCCAAAACAATGTAATTACTTTCTATATTTGATATTAAGTAATTATAAAAACAAAGCACAGGAATTTTTAGTTTGTTGAATATATGTTAAAGTTTGTTGTGAAAATACCTAAAATAAACATCTCCATCACTGCTGGATGAGATGTGCTTCTACTAGTGACCTGACATTTTGCATTAGGCTGTTAAGATTATTGGACCTTGTAATGTGTTATTTTTTTTTTTTTTTTCCTCAAAACTATGTCAAGATGCTATGTATATGTAACACTGCCTTGAGATTAAATTGTGATTATGACAGATGTTTAGGCAGCCATTTAAATCACTGATGTATTCATCTGGATCATTTATGGTAAGAACTCAGTTATTGTCTAGGTATGAAATTTTTCAAAACTTTTGACAAAAGTAAAAATTTGGTACTTCTCCTTTCCCTAAAACCTTGTGTAGTTTCTATTTATCAAATGTACCAAATAGTTTCATTCATTACTATGTACTATGCATTGACTTGAGAACATCAATATATTTCAAAAATATTTTCCCAAGTAAACATTCTGCAAAACTAAAATTGCTTGTATTATAATTATTATTATTTTATAAACTCAAGTGCACCAAATTCAATAATTTTAACTTTTTTGTAAAAAAAACAAATTGAAATAAAATTAATGGTATCAAAACTTTGAAAAGAAAGAATGATGTACTTATGCAAAATTACAGAGAGAAAGAAATAAAGTATTCTTTTATCAGTTATCTACAACTCTCCAAACCTCATTTGGCTCAATTTGGGTAAACATTTTTGGTTGTTTGATGATAGTGCTATTTGAATTCCCTTTTTTCTCTAAGTATCTACACTTCTAAGAAATATATTGCAATTAATTTTTTCTGCTTCCTTGTAAATGATAGCTTTCCTTCCAGAATAGCAATCAGCAATATTTATATTGTTAAAATAAGAGCGTTTTGAGAATGCACTACTTTTAATCCTGTTTTGCACTTTAACATTTCCCTATTCATTTCTGCCCTTTTTAAATAATCCTGTTCACATGGGTTGATTGAAAAGTTTTAAAATCGATTGTCTTTATTCAGAAGCAACTTTTTTATGACATCATCATTAGCACTGTGTGCTTGAGACCATTTTAATATTAAGAATGACTAGACATGCCACTCTGTCTAGGCTATATGCAAGGTAGTCATTCTAGTGTTGACTGACTGATTTCAAATTATACTACGAATGCCACAGCAGCAATTTGCTGTTTCAAGTGCAAATCTTTTTAATACTTCCCCTTCTTTATGGCTTCATACAAATTGTGCAGATATGTGCGATGTTAACATCTCTAATATCAGTGGATAACCTACCATAATGAGTTTTGCTAATCTCTCGCATTTTCTGTTACTGAACACTGAAACACTGTTAACCATATATTCCAGTGTATAACATGTCCCTATAATTTCAAACTACATTTTTTTTTTTTTAATTTTAGGTATCTTCTCTGTATAATGTGCATCCTTTTCTTTATGTAGAAACCTGAAATGTACATGTGCAATGCTCTTATCCTTTGAAGTCATTCATTCGAAGATTTTTCCCAGGCTTTCGAGCAATGGTATACTGAATTGACAAGCATATGGGAGGAAATGCTTTAGGGAGTAAATAATTCTGCAAACAGGGTGGGTTTCATTCATTTCAGGTGTGGGCTTATGTGTTATTCTATATTTTTGAGAAAAGGGAGACATAGTTTGGGGCAAGAACCCACTTCCGATGTGAATGAATTCGTGGTATTAGGAGCCAAATGTTTTCTATTTCTTAAGTTATTTGAAGCTAAGATTTTGAAGTGAACATCAAAAGATTTGCTAAATTGCTTTTGCTTTAGTTGAAATGTAGTTAATCTAGTGTTCCTTTTAGTGATTAATATGGCTTCTGCTAAATGAAATAAACATAGTGCTGTTTTCAAAGTCAGTCAGTTTGCAAAAGAAAATGGAAATCATATTGTGGCAAGGGTGTTTATTGTTGGTGAAAGCTCCTGATGTGAATGGAAGAAAAATTAAAATCTCAGTAGTTAATATATCAAAGAATAAATATGCTTTACATAAAGAAGTAACAAAATGGTCTCTCGTAGTATTGCGAGCTGGGTCGTAGAAAATCTTCAGAATGGGTTAATTGAAACAACAGATAGTGTGTGTATGTTTGCCTTAAAGTGGGAAAAAAAATGAAAATGAAAATTTTAAAGGAACTTTGAGTGGGTATAGCCAATTTATGACATGGAATAATTTAGTTTTATGAGAAAAAACAAGAGTTTCGCAAAGGCTTCCAAAATATTTTGGTGACTAATTCATAATAAGTTTCCGGAGGTATGTTACTGACCGATAAAAGCAAAAAAATTGTTTACTGTCACATATTGGAAATATGGATGAAACTCCAGTAATATTTGATGTGAAAGGAAATAAAATACTTGATCTGAAAGGAATAAAAACGGCTCACATAAAAACAAGTTATGAAAAAAAACTGACCATACTGCCTTTCTGTTTAGCAGACAGGACAAAATTAAAACGCATGGTTATTTTTAAAAGAATGAGAATGCCAATGTGTAACTTCCCAAGTGATGTTTTTAAGTCATTAGTGCCCCCCCCCAAAGCAGGAGAGGTGAAAAATATACAGTGCCCTCACTGGGGACTCAAACCTGGACCTCTCGAATACGTGCCAAGTGTGTTACTATTACATCTTTAAAGGGTGGAGTATATAAGGGAGAAAATACCTTATATATTCCCCCCTTTAAATGCTGAGGATTAGGGGTCTCAATCACCAAATCCTGGTGGTGACAAATTATTGTCCACCACCTTTTAGTTTTAGTGACACTGTAAAGTCTTTTTTTTTTTTTTTTTTTTTTTTTTTTTGGTAGCAGGAGATGTGTAAAATGTTCAAGTTCAATGCCCTCCCCGGGACTCGAATCTGGAGCTCTTGAATACATGCCAAGTGTGCTACCATTATACCACGAAGACATGCTGGAAGGTGTGAGAAAATACCTTATAATGTTTTTATTCATGTTCATGAGAAAGGATGAAAAGTGTAAAATTGCAGATAAGGAATGTTTGACAAAAGCATCTTGTTGCCTTGAAGTTTTTTAATTGGAACATGTTTAGATCCCATTAATGGATAATATGAAGAAACTGGTGAAAGATTGTAACACAGGCATGGCAGTTAATCCAGGTAGATTGACAGCATTAAATCAGCCTTTAGGTGTGTGTATTAATAAAATATTCAGAGGACATTTAAAATGATGGTGGAAAACATGGATGTTAGAATGTGAAAAGATATTTACAAAAGGAGGCAACGCATCCTGCCAGTCTAGGAATAGTGTGTGAGTGAATAATAAAAGCATGCAATGAATTTAACTTGACATAATTTAAAAAAATAAATTATATCTAACAGTTTAGATGGAATGAAAGATATTTATTTACGAGTCTGAGTAACAGTGATGGTGAAGATGAAACAGAATTCGACAGTGTTCCTGTATATATATAATGGAAGAGGAATGTGACAGACTTTTCATGTTATCCGATAATGAAAATTTTAAAGTTCATAAGATATATCATTTCATTTAAACAGCTTTTAGGTACATATAGGAATCTAATTTTTTTATGCTCATCTTTTCCGTATTTTTAAGTCTATCACTTTTATATCTGGCGTATAATGCACACTTGTAAACTTTACTTATTTTTTGTGTTAAAAGTGTGCACTATATGCCAAAATATACAGTAAAGATTTCATTATCCTGCACATTCTGTAACATTTCAAGTGTTTTGTTGCAGCAGTTCCCAAGTTTAATTCTTATTCAATCACATCTCGTACAGTCGCAGGGATGTCTTCCTTGCATTCATGGGAAACATAGAGAACATTTCTTCTAGTTTTATCAAATATGAAAATTATGGCTGTTTAGCTGCAGATTTAAATATATCAATGTATAATTTTTAAAAAATCCTGTATAGGTTGTCACATTTAATATAAGAAAAGAGAAATGGAGGCAATATTAAAAACTTTTTAATCAATCCTTACACTTACATATTGCTGCTTAATTGTCTGAAAAATAGCCAAATTGATCTCCTATATATATGCATGAAAAATTATGCATGAATTAATTAAAAATAATTCTTTGATATTAAAAAGTGTAATGAATTTCTGTTTCATAACATTTTGTGCACAAATAATTCTTTTTGATTGACTTTTTTTTTTTTTTTTTTTTTTTTTTAAGGTTATAGATGGTTGTGCATTTAGAGTTTATTGCCATTGGGTTAAAAAAGGTGAAATGCAAAACAGAGCAGCTCTCTTTGAGAACAGACCACGTACTGAAATGAAGAATCTTTACAATGAAGCCTTAAAACATGTAACAGAATATTCTTAGAGCAAAATATTTTATGTTAAATTTTCATAATTGTAAAAACCTTATTCATCCATTTGTTCTGAATTTTTTATCCATCAAACTTTTAGAAAGGTGTGTTTAATAATGTTGTTTTTTAAAATGTCAAAATTATGTAGCTCTTTTGCTTAAAGTATTTAAATTTATTTGAAATTTATTTATGTTATTTAAATTTTTTGACTTCTAGCCAGTATGCTATGAAAAGCAATATTTATACTTTGTATATAAAAGAATAGTTGTTTATATTGTAAATAAATGTTTTTCATGTAGAATTGCACAAAAATGCAACATGTAAAAATGTTAAGCTTATGTATTTTCGTCAGAAATGTTCTCATTTTTCATTAATAATTTATTTTCATCCCCAGACTGAAGATTTTATACTATAAAATATCCTCACCATTAATGGTCATATTTTAAAATATGCAATGGTAAAATCAGCCAAAGTATAATTAAGAAAAAATATGCTACTTAACAATCAAAATATATGTTATGATTTGATTATGTTGTTTTTAATCAACAAAATTTTAAAGATAATATTATCTCACTTTTCCTATAAATTTTTATTTTGTGTTATAGTGAATTGCATTTGCTTGAAAATAATAAATGATTTGAATAAACATTTTGAAGTTTTAAATTAATAAATTTTAGTGCAAGTGTTTTCCTGTTGTAAAATTTATGGTTTATGTTTACTGTTAATTTTCGTTTCCGAAATTATTTATACACCTTTATTTTTTGCTTTAAATTTTTATGAAATAGGAATGTTTTATTTAACAAAATGCAAACTGAACACAATTTGCTCTCTCTCTTACCATTCTTGAATCCCTATTAAATAGAATTTTTTCTTTTAACAGCACCTTCTTTTTGAAATATTTCTTTGTGATTGTTTCATAGTCTTGAACTGGATTTTTTTAACAGTTCTTGTGTTGACAGTTAAATTTTGAATACTGGCATAGCTTTCTCGCAGACTTAAAAAGATTTTGAAGTAGGAAAATAATTATTTTGGAATTTGGGAAATAAGTTTTCGATAGAATCATATTCATATAGGGATCTAAACATTCTTTAATCATTAAAAATGAATTATTTGCAGAAAATAAGAGAAAATGAAATACAGATTATTTCCATATTTCCAAAAATTGTAGCGTGGTCCCAAAAATTTTGTTTCACATTTTTGTCTGTTACCAGTAACTTTGCGTAAAATTTATAATTTGTATCTTTTCCTTAATTTGTGACTGAAATAACAATGTACACACCAGCAGTTTTTTAATCATCAGTTATTATC